TATATATATATATATATATATATATATATATATATATATATATATATATATATATATATGTACATATATACATATATATATATGTATATATGCAAAAAGAACAAAAAAAATCAACAGTATTTGTGTATTATGTGTGTGTTTGTATGTAGGTGACGGTAGAGTACGACAACCGTTCCGGGGTGCCTGTGCCCGTGCGTGTGCATACGATAGTTATATCGACTCAGCATTCTCCTGACGTAGACAACGAGCAGCTGCGTCGAGACATAATGGACCACGTGATTAGACCAGTGGTCCCCAGCTGTTACCTAGACGACAACACTATCTATCACCTAAACCCTTCTGGCCGCTTTGTTATAGGGGGCCCCCATGGTGACGCAGGCCTCACCGGCAGAAAAATTATAATAGATACATACGGGGGGTGGGGGGCCCATGGTGGCGGCGCATTCAGCGGCAAGGACTCCACTAAGGTAGACCGCAGCGCAGCATATGCTGCTAGGTGGGCAGCCAAGTCTCTCGTCGCCAATGGCTTTTGTAAACGATGTCTCGTACAGGTAGGGAGACAGAAAGAGAAAGAGAAAGATAGAGAAGAATATAGATTGTTTTATTTTGTTTTGTTTGTTTTGTTTGTTTTGTTTGTTTTGTTTGTTTTGGTTTGGTTGTTTTGTTTTGGTTGTTTTGTTTTTTTTGTTTTTTTTTTTGTTTCTTTTTTTGTTGTTTTTTTCTGTTTGTGTAAAGGCTGTGCCTGGCTTAGAGGTAGTGTTACACGTCTCTACGACGTTCTTCTTTGTCTGCTTTCTTTCTTTGTTTATTCCATTAAACTTAATATTTCATTTATTTATTTTTATTATATTAATATATGCATTCATTAATTTATATTTTATTAATATATGCATCAATTGCTTTCTACATATCAATCCCTCCCTCTCTATTATCTATCTATCTATCTATCTATCTATCTATCTATATTTATTTATTTATTTATTTATTTATTAATTTATTTATTTATTTATTTATATATTTATTTATTTATTTATTTATATATAGGTGTCTTACTCTATCGGCGTGGCTACCCCTTTGTCTCTGTTTGTGAATTCTTACGGTACGGCTGCCGCCGGCTACACGGATGACTGTCTCCTCAAAATCGTCGCAGAAAACTTCGATTTCAGGCCAGGAGTTATTCAGAGAG